AAAATTCTATTAGAGAGCAATGCTTGAGAATTTAGAGGAACTTTCCCTTGTCACCCACTCTAAACATCTTCAAAGCTCCCACAGAGTCCCGAGAGCTTAGTTCTTTTTAAGAGCGGCTCAGAAGCCACCCTCTGGAGAGGAGGTGAGATGTAGGGATGCCTGATGCCTGCTTACCCCAGACTGAGTTCTCCTGATCTGGCCTCTTGGGTCACAGCCAGATATACATGTACGGAAACGTACTTCCCCAATTCTGGGCTATGTTTCCGTGCTCTCAGTTCTTCCAGGGACCCCCAACCCTGGTTACTGAGGAGAAGAGCTCTGTGTCAGTGACTAGGAACCCCTGAGGTCTGGGCTTCCCAAATTGAGCTCTGGATTTCAGGATTCCCTTCCTTTATAGGTCTCTAATTTTTCTAGGTGTCCTTGTTTAATTCACTTGCCCACAGACTAGGCCTACCCCACTCTGGAGACAGAACACAGGCAGAAGGAACATAAGTTCCCAGTGATGGACTGGTATGATCTGTGAGCCGGCCCCTGGTTTCCTACCTTTCTATCCCATTATCCTGGCTTCTGGGCCCATCGGGAGTCACAGCTGTGTTCTGGTCTCTGATAGCATAGGTTACTGAAAGCAATTTCCTGCCCTCGATAATTTCTCATTGCCCTGCCCCCAGCCCAACTGGTAATTTCTTCTGGACTTGACTTTCAGCCCTGATAACTCTTCTGTGTACACACATAAACTTTGAGACTCCAAAGTATTTTCCCTGCCACAATTCAGGTTGGAGTGACCTGAGGTGGGCATCCCTAATATGTACATCTCTTGCATTAGTCAGATGTTCATATCTGGGTGGCCACCTGTCTGGTCCTGCCTAACACTACCACCATTGATTCCAAGAAGATACTTCTCCACCCAGCCAGGGAACCCCTTTCCAGCACTTTCCTGGCTTAGCTCTGACCGTGGACATGTGCAAACTTTCAAGGATGCAATCTCCTCGTCCGCAAAATGGGGAAGTTATAATTACACGGAGGAAATCTGCTAGATCTAAGTGACCAGGGCTCCTGTATTCATAACATGGGATGCAGGGGCCCCATCTCTCCCCAGGTCCTAGGGTATGTCCCTCCTCGACTCCAACCCCAAGGAATGTTTGTGTGGGGTTGAGCTGGGCTTGAAAAGACACAGAATAGTGTATCTCCAGAGAAACTACAACTTCCATCAGGCACTACTTCAGCGGAACGGGGAAGAATGCGGGGGCGTGGCTCCAACGCCCTAGTAGCGCGGGAAACAAACTACAATTCCCAGGACAACGCGAGAGCTCAGCAGGGCGAAAGGAGTGACTGAACTCTGACTGGGGGCGGGACCCTGCCGGAACCGTCCCTATAGCCTCCGGAAAGGGGCCAGGTCCAAATTTTAGGGGCGTGGCTATGTGGGCATCAGGAAGAAGTTACCTGCTGAATTGTTCTATCCTTTCTGTTCCCCACCCTTGAAGCTACCCCTAAAGGGGAAGCCGCAGACCGATAAGCCTCTTCCGAAAAAGAGGTAAGGGGAGATAGACTAGGGGAGGCGGCAGAGACTGGCTACTGTATTTCGTAGAAGGGGCCCAACAGCTACTTTTCACCTGCTGAGTCAGGTGAGCCGGTTCACGGAGGCGGCGACCTGTATATTAGAAAAGGGCAAGAATAGAGGAGGTATTTATTTGTTCATTTTGAAGACTAAATATAGAACCCATCATCTGCGGACCTACTAGTGGATTGTGTCTAGGGCATTCGCTCGGCCTCGGGAAGAGGGAGGACCAGGGGCGACTTTTTGGCTGCAAAGGAAAGGCCCATCTAGGCTACCTCCTTTCCGTGTTTCCCTAGCCCAAAGCAATAGAGCGGCATGGCTTCCGCGGTCTGGGGAAGTGCCCCCTGGTGGGGCCCACCACCCCCGGCCCCAGCCCGGCCGCTCACGGACATCGACTTTTGCTCTGGGGCTCAGCTGCAGGAACTGACCCAGCTCATCCAGGAGCTGGGTGTGCAGGAGAGCTGGAATGACGGGCCCAAGCCGGGAGCAGACCTTCTGCGGGCCAAGGACTTTGTCTTCTCTTTGCTTGGTAAGTAACCCTTCTTGCCTTTGGGAACTCACAGCTCTCAGCCTCACCACGCCCACGCCCCTTTGGGCGACGCCCTCACGATCTCTTCTCTTCCTTTAGGTCTAGTTCACCGCCGGGACCCCCGTTTTCCTCCCCAGGCAGAGCTCTTGCTTCTTCGTGGTGGGATTCGCGAGGGCTCCCTGGATCTGGGGCATGCACCCCTGGGTCCCTACGCCCGGGGACCTCACTACGACGCTGGCTTCACACTCCTAGTGCCCGTGTTTTCGCTGGACAGCACTGGGCGGGAGCTGCAACTGGACCTGGAATCTTGTTACGCATGGCTCCGCCTCCCAGAGCTGGTGTGTGGAACCTCCGTCCGAGAAACGTGGCAGGATTCCCTAGGACCTCCAGTCCCAGGAGGACGTGATTTGATTCACCGAACCGAGAGCGAAGAAAGTACCAAGGACTGGCAAAGCTCGGTGGACCAGCCGCACGGCTACGTCACTGAGCATGAGCCTCTAGTGTCTTTGGAAAAATCACCTAGTGACGTTTCAGTGTCCGAGTCGCCTCGGCATGACGTCACCGACCTTGGGTCTCCGGACCCTGTGAAAAAACTGAGTAGTGACACCACTGAGACTGCCGTCGAAAGCCCAGTCCCAAAGCCGTCCGAGGCTTGGGAGGCGTGGCCCACATTGTGCCCCGCCCAGGTGGCTTCCTGGTTCTTCGCTACACTGGCCGCAGTCGCCGAGTCCTTGATCCCTGTCCCGGGCGCCCCGCGCCTGGTACACGCAGCTCGCCACGCGGGTTTCACCACCGTCCTCCTGGCTACACCAGGGCCCCCGCGCCGGGTCCTGCTCTTCGACCTGATCCCGGTGGTGTCGGTGGCTGGCTGGCCCGAGGGGGCTCGTAGCCACTCGTGGGCCGGTCCGCTGGCCTCGGAGTCGGCTTCCTTCTACCTGGTGCCGGGCGGCGGCACGGAGCGGGTAGGCGCCTCAGGCTGGCAGCTCTGCTTCGCCCGCCAGGAGCTGGCGCTCAAGGCGCGCATACCCGCGCCGCTATTGCAGGCGCACGCGGCGGCCCAGGCGCTATTGCGCCCACTGGTGGCTGGAACCCGGGCCTCGGCGCCCTACCTCCTGCGGACGTTGCTGTACTGGGCGTGCGAGCGGCTGCCAGCTCTCTACCTGGCGCGGCCAGAAAATGCGGGAGCCTGCTGCCTCGGGCTGCTGGACGAGCTGGGCCGTGTGCTCGAGGCCGGGACGCTGCCTCACTATTTTCTGAGTGGCCGAAAGCTCTGTGCGGGGGACGGCTCTGCTACCCTGCTTGGGGCGTTGGCCCGGCTCCGCGGGGACCCTGCTCAGGCCCTGCGTACCGCTGTAGAGGAGGCCAAGGTTGCGCGCAAGGGGGGCGGCTTAGCGGGCGTGGGGGGCGGGGCCCATTAAAGACGCTGCTCCTACCAGAGTGCAAAGTGCTTGCGTTGGCGAGTGGGATGTGGAGGGGACTGCTTGACAGACTGTGTGCCCTGGGCCCAAAGTCCCCTTTCTAGCACCTCCTCGGTTCCTTCCCATTACCCCACTCTGCCCCTGGCACAGGTTGTCTCATTCTGGCCTCTCCACGCTCCAAATTTGTGGCCAGCACTCCTCCCCACCCGGGGCAGCTTCCAGCAACCATCTCTCCCCAGTTCTTTTGGTCTTTTCTATTAGGAGTCAATAGAAACGGAAGGAATATATTTGCTACCAAAACGCGAAAAGGAAAGACATGAAGACTAGGGACTGATCAATTTAGCTTACACAAAAGCAGAGGTATTTAGAAGGCCGTATTTCACCCCAGGCTGGATCTCACCACCGCCCCTCCTCCATCTCTCCAGTTCCCCCCCCCCCCACTTTCCTTATTCAGTTCTGTCCTCACTTCCATCCCGGGCAGTAGGATCCCTCTCTCTATTCTCCAGGCGTCCGCCATTCCATCTACCTTAAGCCCAACCTCTTCTCTGCATGCAGGGTTCCGTTCAGGAGGCGACTCTGAACCCTTCTTCTCCGAACCCCGAGACGTGCGGCCTTGCGTCGGATCCACCTGCCTCTAAGACACAATCCCCACTCTCAGCTTCCGAGGAACCCCGGGGTTCCTCATGCCCAGCTTCACCCTCCTCTTTCCGAGCGTCTCCGCCCCCTGCCCCGCCCCCGGGCCGGCTCTCGGAGGAGGGGGAACTGCTGTCGCCGCCGCCGCCTCAGCTTCCCACTGCCGCTGCTGCTGCCGCTGCCGCCGCTGCTCTGCCTGGTCCAGCCGCCAGGCCCAGTGCTCTGACTTCGCCGGACCGGGGCGCTCTGCAGAGTCACTCTCACTCCTTCCCGAGGGTCCGGGACGCCTAGCCGGTTGTGGGGGGAAGCTCCGCTTGCGGGGGACAGGGAGGGAGAGCCCGGAGCCGGAGCCAGCGCCACCCGTCGCCGGATCAACAGGACAGGACAGGTTGAGGGGCGTCGGGGAAAGGAAGAGGGGGTGCTGTAGGCAGTCCCGGGGAGAATGAGGAAGCCCTGTCGCAGGAAACTCTGATGTTCTCTGACTTGTAGGGGGGCCTGTTCACATTTGGGGACTGGTGACAACGTGGGTGCACTCTTCTTGGGGGGCTGGTTAGATTGGAGGGCGTGGGATCTCTACAGCACCAGCTGTCCCCAAGGAAATTTAAGGGGCTGCCAGGAAAAAAAAAAAAAGGCTGCTCCTTATTTCGAGGTGACAGAGGGCCCTCCAGACAACCACTTGGTGTATTCACTAGGAAGGGCGGATTTGGAGGTGACTTCAAAAGGCGTGGAGGATGACCAGGTGCAGAAAGGGTCTGGGCAGCCAGAGCCCTGTGCTGCTGGGAATAGGGGTGACTTGGTGAAAAGGGTATTGTCCAGCCAGAGGGTCTGGGAATCCTTCTCACTGAACCTGGATAACCTAGATATTCTGAGACATATTATGGGGGGTTCAGTGAAAATAAGTGGGGGATCTCCATTTGGTGGGTAGCAAAGGAAAAAATACCAAGCTTGGTTCCTCACTGACATTGGCAATGCCCCAGTAGGGGTGGGGTAAGCTAATATCCCCAAATATAAGGTCCCACTCCTTTAGATTACAAGAGTGGATTTGGCAGGAGTGTGCCCCTCAAAATAGAGTGGGAAGGTGCCTGGAGATATTGGAACCATATCTTGGAAATGTGGGGGGTCTTGGTTTTGGAATAGGGGAAGTGGGGACAGAGACACTGGAAAGGAGGGAAGGGGGAGTTTTCAGTAGGGGGCAAAATCAAGGGTGGGGTCAACTGAGGAGTGCATAGGCTGCAGGGTCAGGTCGAGCTAGCACTGGTCCCAAAGGTGGGAACTGGCTGCTAGGGGCATAGGGTGGGGGGAGTCTGGGGCTTATCCTCAGGTCCTGTGGGTGGGGCAGTGAGTCGGGGCCTGAGCGTCAAGAGCATGCCCCGGTGAGCGGGCTCCTCTGGGGGAGCCCAGCGCGCTCCGGGCGCCTGCCGGTTTGGGGGTGTCTCCTCCCGGGGCGCCATGGCGGCGCTGGCCAGTAGCCTGATCCGGCAGAAGCGGGAGGTCCGCGAGCCCGGGGGCAGCCGGCCAGTGTCGGCGCAGCGGCGCGTGTGTCCCCGCGGCACCAAGTCCCTTTGCCAGAAGCAGCTCCTCATCCTGCTGTCCAAGGTGCGACTGTGCGGGGGGCGGCCCGCGCGGCCGGACCGCGGCCCGGGTGAGTGCGGCTGGGGCAGGGTCTCCGAGCCAGAGGTCTCTCTGCCAGGGAGGTTGAGGCTAGGGATTCTGAAGAATAGGGCCTGGCGGAGGGGACTCCCCTAAAGTAGAAGGGGTGGGCCAGGACGACAAAGTCCCTGCCAGACTATGCCTCAATTTCCCTTCTCTTTTGTCCAGAACCCGGAGTCTCCTTGCTTTCGAGGGCAAGCGGAAGGCTTGAGGGGCTAAGTCTGGCGCCCCGAAGCCTCACAGTTCCTGCCCGGCCCCCCCCCCCACAGGAGTCCCTACCCCCACCGTCCTCGCCTACGTGCCGGCTCTCGCGATTCTTTCAATCTGGAGCGGAGGGCACCAGATTGGGGGTTCCGGACGCCTGGGTCACCCCGAGGGTTTCTGCGGCTCCATCCGCCCTGCCCCGTCCCCCCTCGCCCTCCCCCGCCGGTTCTCCCGCTTCTCCACGCCTTGGCTCGGTTCCTCCCGGTCGAGCTCTCCTGGCTGGGAGCCAATCTCCCCAGCTCTCCCTCGGGTGTCCTTGCAGCTACCTCGCCAGCCAGCCCTCTGTGCGCCCTCCTCCCGTGACCTGCGCTTCAAGAAGGGAACTGGGCACCCACTCCCATTACCCCCGCGCGACTCCGAAATTGGGCCCCACAGGCTCTGGGGACCCTACGCCGGTAGGAACTCAGACACAGTTCACCGCTGGAGATGGGCGCGGAGACTTGGGGGTCGTACCACTTACAAGGGGGGACAGGGAAGTCGGCAGAGAGCAAGCGATGGGGGAGGAGAGTTGTGAGGATTAGCGTGTGGTCCCTGTTCAGTTGCTACAGTCAGGGAGTCCCTGTGGCCCCGCTCCCGCCCTCTTCCAGCTCCCTTAGGGGTAGCCCCCTCGCGCCCTCCTTCCCCCGTCCGTAGTGGTACGGTCCGCAGCCCACCCTCTGAGTGGGACAGGGACCCCACGTGACTCAGCCTGCTTCTCCACCTCCTCAGCCCCCACCCCCCATTTCCTTCATAAGGTACCGAAGGTCCCCCCACCCCAGACGGGTTACCTGGCTGAAGGGGAGAGGCTGAGCCTCAGGGAGGACTGGGCCCCCGCGAGCCAGCAGACTGACAGACAGACAGACAGATGGGTCAGTGTCAGACAGGCCGGCGCTGGGCCAAGGCAAGGCCCGCGCCAACCCAGCGGCAGCCGCAGTAGCAGCAGGTGCTGAGTCAGCGTCAGGCCCTGTCCCACCCCCACTCATGAGGGAGAGCCCCTACCCTGTGGTCCACTTGCAACCACCACACACACACACACACACACACACACACACACACACACACACACACACTTGCAAACACTGCTCCTTCAGTAGCCGTGTCTCCCTCTGTCCCCTGCATTTTGATGTCTCTCTCCCCTTCCTCCTCCCTCTCCCCTCCCCCTTCTGGTTGAGCTGTAGGGTAGGAATTAAGCCACTTAAATAAATTTCAATAAATTAAACTGAAAGCTGGTGGTTGGCGGAAACTAAAGGGACCCACATCCCAGCTTCCCCAGGGGTCAAAGAGAGGTGGGAGAGAGCTTGCTGGAGGGGAAGAGAGCAGGGACCTGGGACCCTCTTCCTTCCACTCATTCTCCTTTCTTTCCTCTGATCCCACCTAGTGTAGGAATGTTTCTGGGAACAGAGATGTTATTTTCAAAGATGAATTTCTCTCTCTAGAGCCTCAGCTCAAAGGCATCGTCACCAAATTGTTCTGCCGCCAGGGTTTCTACCTCCAGGCGAATCCCGACGGGAGCATCCAGGGCACCCCGGAGGACACCAGCTCCTTCAGTGAGAGGGAAAGCCAGCTGCGGGGTGGGCAGGGGGAGACTGGGGGTAGCAGGTGACAATCCTGTTCCCTCTTCAGGTTCTGTTGTCACTCTGTCTCCCTGACCCCCAAGGGAAGAAGTGGAACTGGGATGGGGGGAAGCACAGATGAGAGTTACAGGCCTGGGTAACTGATGTCCCCTCTCTCTACCTCCAGCCCACTTCAACCTGATCCCTGTGGGGCTCCGTGTCGTCACCATCCAGAGTGCCAAGCTGGGTCACTACATGGCCATGAATGCCGAGGGGCTGCTCTACAGCTCGGTGAGACGATGAGGCTGAGTGTCCTGGGGTACTGGGGACTCCCCTTCTTCAACTACACACATTTTTTTGCAGCCCAGGACTCCCTCTCTCTCCCTCCAGCCTTTGCTGATGGCCTGTCACCACTGCCCAATCCAGAGCACTTTCTCCAGGGTTTCTCCAATCCCTACTCCTCACACAGCCCCCCACATACCCCCAGGCTCTTTGAATGTCCAGCTCTTTTTGCCTTTTATGGCTCCTACTTCTCATCCCACCTCCTCCAAACTTCGTTATCACTCACTTCTCATTCAGGATAGGGGGTGGTGAGAGGTTGGGAGTAAAGTGGAGAGAAGGAATCTTATTCCAAGACCTCCAAAGTCTAGTTTATAATCCTCAGGGGCCCACCAGGCTCTTCCTTGTCCTCCCTTTGCTCCCAGTTCCTACAGAGACTCAGAAGTTGCCCTCTCCCTCCCTCCAAAAATGTCTGGATTATATCCTGGCTTGTTCTTTCTAAGAGCTCTCTTCTGCCCAGTGATGTGTCTTTTTGTCTTTCTATCTGTATGTGCCTTTCTGGGTCTTTGTCTCTTTAGCCACATTTCACAGCTGAGTGTCGCTTTAAGGAATGCGTCTTTGAGAATTACTATGTCCTGTATGCCTCTGCTCTCTACCGCCAGCGCCGTTCTGGCCGGGCCTGGTACCTAGGCTTGGACAAGGAGGGCCGGGTCATGAAGGGAAACCGAGTCAAGAAGACCAAGGCAGCCGCGCACTTTGTGCCCAAGCTCCTGGAGGGTGGGTATAGACTCAAGAAATGTGGGCCATGTGGGTGGGTATTGACCTTGACATTTAGGGACACATAGCTCAGGCTACAAGTGTTAAAAGGACCCTGTTATTACAGGCCAAGCCAGGAAGGCTTTGGCCTTTGGGGGTTTGGGGAGCACTCTTCCATTGGGTTGGGGTTACTAGAGGGTGAGTATAGGGGAAAGGAGCCCTTTCAGAGCACTGGTTCTGCCTGGGCCTTTCTGTGCCTAACTCTCCTTCCCTGCTCCTCTCTCTCTCCCCTTCACAGTGGCCATGTACCGGGAGCCTTCTCTCCACAGTGTCCCTGAGACCTCCCCTTCCAGTCCCCCTGCCCCCTGAAATGTAGTCCCTGGACTGGAGGCTCCTTGCACTCCCACTGAGCCAGCCACCACCACAGCCTGTCTCCCAGTCCTGCTCTCACTCCTGCTGCCAACACATGCCCTGAGCAGCTGGGTCCCACCAGGTGCTCTACCCTGAGGGGGCCTAGGGGCTGGCTGTCACTTCCAGGGCTGCTGAGACCCTTAGATCCTTGGGCCAGGAAAGGGATCAGAGAGTGGGATGTCTGAAAATGGTCCTGGCTGATCACTTCTTTCTTTCCACACTCACACACCCCCAAAGCCTTTTCCTGAGATGGCGCTGGGGGTTGCCAAACTGACAGAGCCAGAGCATAAACACACCGCAATCCTGGCTCAGCCAGTTCCTACAGCCCTCTGCCCATTTTTATTGCTACTCAGCCACAGATTTATGGGTCCAGTGGAGCTCAGGATTAGTGTCCTTCTTTCCCCATTATACCTTCTACCTTGGTCTGAACAAGTTCTAGAACACGAGACACCCCAGCCAGGGCCATTTTTGCACTAGGGCTCTGTGCTGGAACCCAGGCATGCTGCCAGGCTCTGTTCTGGATCCATCAGTCTTCTATCCTTGACTCTGATGGACTCCTGGTTTCCAGGTAGAGAAAGGCTGGATTGGAGCCTTGTCTAGCTGTTGGCCGTGACCTGAATTAGGACCACTTTCAGATGACCACAGGTTTAACCTTCTTCCAGAGATATCCAATTCTAGAGCATGGTATTCTAGACCTTTATGGAGCCATGCTTTCTCCTGAATTCCAGCTCTAGGACATAGACCATGACTCTCAGCCCTTCTTCCCTGGTTGGAACTGGGGCCTATATAGCCATAGTATTGCTCTAGAGCATGTTCTAGACCCACCCGCCCACCTTCTCAAGTGATACCTATTAAGGATGAGCTCTGGAAAGGGCCCAGCTATGATTCATTAAGAACTAAGTTCTGGATGAATCAAAAACCATTTCTTGTTTTTCCTAGATAATTTTCTAAAAATCTTATTCTTCCATATATAATGCTAATCTTATTTATACATGCAGTTTCTAGTTCCTTTAACCCAGCTGAGGTCCTGCCAGAGAAACAGAGTCTGGGCATGGGCAGAATTTAGGAAGGATCCCTGGCTCATAGTAGGGAAGTCGGGATGGGGAAGGGGCCAAAAGCACGGGGTGACTGAACCTGAGTCTGAGTTGGGGGGACATGGATATTTAGCTACCTCAGCAGGAATTCTGTCCAGGTCCCCTTTAAAGCTGAGGTCTTTAGGGTAACGGGTCTAGAATGAAAAGGACACATGGGACACAGCTTTGGCCCTCCCTGCGAGGAGACCCCATTTCAGCAATAAGTCCCACCCTTTTCCCCTACAGGTCAGGTCAAGGAGGGTGAGGACCTCTTGGGCTCCAGACCTCATACACCCCCAGAGCTTCGAAGTGAATAGCACTTGCTTTACCTTACAGCTTATCACCTCAGCTGGGTTTTGGGTACCCAAAAAGGACCTGTCTAGATTTTTCTGAAAACTATGGGGGGCCAGGGGGGAGGCCTGGAAAGACTGGGAACCTACTAGTAAACTAGGAGGGAGACTCAGTAGCCTCAGCCTTGGGCAGGATAGACTGAGGAAGCCCTAAGGCAGTAGCTAGGGCTCACAAGCAGGGCACTTTTCCTCGGGCTGTTTTACTTCTGGCTTGTTGCAAGAGGAGCAGATGCCCCCTCACCCACACAAAGCCCGCTCAGGCTCCACCCATCTCCTGGCTCTGCTCCCAGCAGACTGGGTCTTCACTCCACGCTTTCTCAATTAAAGACGATTTATACAACTGAAATATTGTCTGTCATCTGTGGGTAGCAGGCTTCAGCAGTTGCTCAGGGCGGGATCAAGTCTGGGGGCGGGGCGGATGGACTGGCAGCTGCCCCTCAACAACAGGTGCACATTCCTGGGCGCCTGGTCACTTCCCCTGCGCTGGCGGTCCCGGCAGCTTTCCGAGCGAACTCACTGAGCAACGTGGCCAGGCTATGACCCCAGGGGCACTGCTGCTCCTGATGCTGGGGGCTCTGGGGACGCCGCTCGTCCCAGGTAAGTGTGGGCTCCGAAGGGACAGTGACAGGGGCAGCAGTCGTGGCCAGCCACCAGGGTTTCAGTTAGTGTTCCCTTCCCCTAGGTGTCCGCGGCTCGGAGGCGGAGGGCCGACTCCGCGAGAAACTTTTCTCCGGCTATGATAGCTCCGTACGGCCGGCGCGGGAGATGGGAGACCGCGTCGGGGTCAGCATTGGTCTCAGCTTGGCCCAACTCATCAGCCTGGTGAGGGCGCACGCGGGGGGTTCGGTCAGGCCGGCCCACAGGCTGGGGGCGTGGCTTTAGGCAAGGTGGGACAAATGGACAGACTGGGGGCGGGTCCTGGGCGGGGCCAAAGTGAGAAATGGTCAAGCCTTTAGCGAAGATTGGGTGGAAATAGGACCAACGGACAAACTGTGGGCGTGGCTTCTGGATAGGACTGGAGTAGAGTCAGGTAGGGTGACAAACAGGCCTGCGGGTGGATCTAGAAGAGGAGCTGGGGCCGAAGGCCGACGGACTGGCGGTGGGTGGCGGTGTGGACCTTGAGGCCGGGCCACATAAGCTTATGGCAGGATGGGGCGGAGCTTGGTGCCCAACAGCGTCTCTGAACAGCAGTGGGCGGAGATTCCGGGCTGGAGGGGGTTATGGGCTGTGGGCGGGGCCCGGGCAGAGCTAGGCGGGGGCTGGGCGGGGCTGGGCGGGGGCGGAGCTGCTAGATAGGCCCGGCGTGTGGACAGCTGGATGGGTGTTTCTGAGAGAGAGGAGGGGCTTAACCTAACGCAGCTTCTAGGAGGTGGGCCTTGGACCCAAGAGGGTGGGGATCAGAAAAAGGGAGCAGAGTTTCTAGGGAGAGATTGGTATGCTGAGCTCCCTCTTTTCTCTCCACCCTACTTCACCTCTACTCCTAAATTTTTCCCATCTAGAACGAGAAGGATGAAGAGATGAGCACAAAGGTGTACTTAGACCTGGTATGGAGGTCCCGCGGTATGGAGAAGGGTGTCTCACTGCCTTTAACAATTTCCTCCAATGTCTGGCCCAGTAAGATTATCTTTTACATCACAACCTCAGAAAACACATTTATTACTGAAACAGAAGCTTGAAAAACGATACCTATCTTCACTACAAAAGTTGCGCCGCATGCATTTTTCATTCTAATTTTTTTTCAACACTGTTTTGGGGCCACTAATTTGATCCCCCATCCACTAAAAGGTCACGAACTGTAGTTTGAAAACCACTGTTTTAGAGGCTAGCTAGTACAGCCTCCTCATTTTTACAGAGTAAAAAATTGGGGCCCAGTGAGGGGCAAAGGGAAATTAGCTGCTGTGGATCACAGTGAGTGAAGGCGGAGCCTGCCAGAACCCCGCCCCCTTGGCAGCGGGCTCCCCTCCCTTGCACTCCCTTCCTGAGCTTCCTCCGGATATCCCAAGTCCCCTCCTGGCCTCCAGCCCGGACAGCGCCTCAGCCTCTGCTTCTCTAGGAGTGGACTGACTACAGACTGAGTTGGGACCCGGCCGAGTACGACGGCATCGATTTGCTCCGCATCACGGCAGCGTCTGTGTGGCTACCTGACGTGGTGCTGCTGAACAAGTAAGATCTTCCCAAGCCTGGGAGGTGGGGCGGGGCCTCCGGAGGGCGGGTCCCGATCCCAGATGAGAGGATCCCTTCCCTGCAGCAATGACGGAAATTTTGATGTTGCTCTGTACATTAACGTCGTGGTGTCCTCCGACGGCTCCGTTCGCTGGCAGCCCCCGGGCATCTATCGCAGCAGCTGCAGCATCCAGGTTTTTGGGCTCGGCATGGGAAGCTGAAGGAGCTCTTAGAAACTCTCCCTCTCCTTAGACAGCATGACTCCCCAGCTTCTCCCATTCTTCCTCCATTATCCCCCATGATTCTCATCTCTCATTTGCCCTCCTAATTTTCTGTTGTGTTATCTTCTCTGTACACTTTCTTTGATTCCCAGTCTTCCTCAGTGATGCCCCTCCATTTTCCCAATGGCCTCCCTTAATAACCTTCCAATTCCTCTGTGACCCCACTTCCCTGTGACCTCCCCTGGTGATCCCTATCTCCCTGGTGCCCCATATCCTGTGACCTCCCCCAATGATCTCTCAAACTCTACCAGCCCTGGCCAGTTCTCTGATAGCTCTAGTAACTCCCCCCTCCATCCAGGTCACCTACTTCCCCTTTGACTGGCAGAACTGCACTATGGTGTTCAGTTCCTACAGCTATGACAGCTCTGAGGTCAGCCTGCAGACAGGCCTAGGTCCTGATGGGCAAGAGCAGCAGGAAATTCACATTCATGAAGGGACCTTCATTGGTGAGTGGGCTTGACTCCCACATCCATGGGCTCTATGATTTCCAGTTTCTAACATGCTGATAAATATACTCTGTCAGCAATGCCCAATACAACCCTGTGAGGTCAGCAAGATGGATATGACTATCTATATTTTATAAATATGGAAATGGAGACTTATCCAAGTTTATTAGATATGGGCTGCCCAGCCCAGTGTCCACAGCTAGTCCCTTATCACATCAGCCCCCCACCCCAGGTCCAGGATGTGGCAGAGCAAGCCATACCTGGCACTAACCAGGACAGCTCCTACATCTGTGTCCCCTTCTGCTCACTCTACTCCCAGAGAATGGCCAATGGGAGATTATCCACAAGCCCTCTCGGCTTATCCAGCCTCCAGGGGATCCTAGGGGAGGAAGGGAAGGACAGCATCAGGAAGTCACCTTCTACCTCATCATCCGCCGGAAGCCTCTCTTCTACCTGGTCAACGTCATTGCCCCATGCATCCTCATCACTCTCCTGGCCATCTTTGTCTTCTACCTGCCGCCAGATGCAGGTAAGGGGGAAAGGGCCCTGCCATTTTTTACCATTAGTTCAGTTTCTTTCTCTTTATCCTTAATCCAGGCAGGGTTTTCCTGCCAACAGAAACTATCATGGCTTGGGCTTCAACAATCCCACCCAAGTTTTCTCTCCACCAAGTGGACTCAACCTCAGGCTCTGCCTCTCTTTGGCTGCTGGATTCCCTCTATCCAATGAAATCTGAACTCTTTCCCTTTAGAGTCCTAGCCACTCATCCATGGAATTTCTATTCATCTGAACAACAAACTTCCAGGCTTAGACAACTGTCCCCTTCCTTTTCCTCATTCTTAGCATCCTCCACCCACTTTTCAGACACTCACTAGTCCTTCAACCTTCTACCTCCCTGGGAAATACAATAATAGCCAAAATTTCTCTAAGAGGCAGTATGATGTATTAATAGGGTAACCTTGGACAAATGCCTTAATTTCTATGAGTCTCAGTTTCCTGATCTGGAATTGGGATCAATCATTGTCTCTATTGCATAGTATTATTTTCAGGATTCACTAGGTTAATAGAACTATATGCCTGCTACTTAGTAAGTTCTATGTAAGCATTGGATTTTGGGCTGCTTTTTCTATTTTTGAGCACTTGCTATAAGGTAATTCAATTACCATATTACATGTATTAACTCAATTCCAATCTTTACATAAACCCCGTGAGGTAAGTACTGAATTGTCATTTCCATTTTACAGAGGAGGATAAAGAGGCTGAAAGAATTTAAGTCATTTGCCTGACATTACACAGTTAGAGAGAGGCAGTGTCATTATTGCAACCCTGGTCAGTGCCAGTCTGATTCAGGGACCTGATATCCTTAACTCTGGTATTCAAAATGAGCTTTCCTCCTCTACAGCACCAAGTCCTCTGTTTAGAGTAGGAGAGTGCTACAGCTCTAGAACATACTTCTGCCTAGAGCAGGACAAATCTTGGAACTCAACATTATAGGATGAAGTAGAATAGACCATAAAATGTATTTATTTCAATACCTTCCATGAAGTTTGTAATGCCTGTTGTATGCCACAGGAATAATCAGCCACCTGGCATATCCTCATATACTTCATCTCATTTTTAGATCCTTCAAATTGCTGTATAGTTCCTGAAAAAGCTACCAATGTCTGTTCATTTATGCAACAACATTTGTTGAGTATCTATAATGTGCTAGGCACTGGGAATATATCAGTGAATAAAAGAGGGAAAAATCTCTGACCTCATGAAGTTTATATTCTAATGGAGGTGTTCGCTGGTGATCAGGTAAATGAAAACCTACCCCCAAAGGCCAAGAGAGCTGAGAGGCTGAAGAAAGAGGCTGACAATTTCAGTTTCTCTGAAAGAAACATTTCATAGGGACTTATGAATAGAAGTCATATCTCAGGCAGCCTCAAGATGGTGGATCACAGAACTGTTATCTCTCAAACCTGGGGTTTATATACCATAGGGAAGAAATGTATACGACAGGTGAAGTGGACCCCTGAGGGAAAGGCAGAAATTTGCCTATGGGCAGGATTTATGGCGAGTATGTGTTTAAGATATAACATTAAGGTTGTTTTGACCAAAGGGCAGGATTTATGGTAAGATAAGTATGTCATTTGGACCAGGGTGGTGGTGGTAGATGTGATAAGTCATCAGTTTCAGGATATATTTGAAGGTAGAGCGAATAGGGTTTGCTATGGATTGGATTTGGTGGGTGGGGGGAGAAAGAAGAGAGAGAGAGGAGTTGAGAATGACTCAAAAGAGTTTGGTCTTAGCCACAGGAAAGAAGGAGTTGTCACTTGTGAGACAGGGAAGTCTAGGGGAGGAGCAGTTTCGCTGGTAAGAGAGTAAGAGAATTAGGTTTTGGACGTGTTAAGTTTGAGATGTGTACTGGACATCCAAGTGGAGAGGCTGAGCAGGCAGGTGGATATGAGTCTGGAGTTCAGGGGAGAGGTCCAGGCTGGAGGTACAAATGTGAGAGTAATTTGCATGCAGATGGCCCTTCCAAAAGCCTGTCTTTGAGTGGTCACTGATTATACCATAGAGACTTCCTTCTGGCAAAGCCTAATCCTTCTGCTTTCCCCTCTGCCCTTCAAGGAGAGAAGATGGGGCTCTCAATCTTTGCCCTGCTGACACTTACTGTGTTCCTGCTGCTGCTGGCAGACAAAGTGCCTGAGACCTCCTTGGCAGTCCCCATTATTATCAAGTACCTTATGTTTACCATGGTCCTCGTCACCTTCTCCGTCATCCTCAGTGTTGTGGTTCTCAACTTGCACCACCGCTCACCCCACACCCACCAAATGCCCTTTTGGGTCCGTCTGGTAAGAGAGATCTCCTCCTCCAGTTTGTGTTAATTCCCAATCCTAGTACCTAGCTTTTTGTCCAGACATCACTCCTCTCTCCCACCAACCCCAACTTCCCTTTTCAAGGCCTTAGGGAGAACTATAGCTACCTGATAGAGTGTCGAAGTGCCAAAGCCTGTTGGGTATTGAAACACTGCACAATTAATTTTGTCCTCCCACCATTATCATTTCATAGATCCCATACTCTCTTCATCAATACTGCCTATCTTGGGTCCCAGGTAAACATTCTCAGAATTAGATACTATCAAGGTGGAAGCCCTTGGAACCTCTTTCCAGTTAGGATGCCTCCCAACCCACTAGAGAGCTCTTAAGGCTGTATAGCTGCATTTCCTTGTTCTTGTTGCTCTGTGGAACCACGTGCACGCACCACACGGGATTGGGCATGTGGAGTGGGGGTGGTTGGCTGCTTCCCTTCTGGACTGAAAGCATGAGAGCACCCTCCAATACGCCTCTTCTACTCTGCAGATCTTCATTCACAAGCTCCCTCTCTACCTGGGTCTGAAGAGGCCCAAACCTGAGAAAGATCAGATGCCAGAAACCCCTCACGCTTCTTCTCCAGGAAGTGGCTGGGGCCGGGGAACAGATGAATATTTCATCCGGAAGCCGCCGAGTGATTTTCTCTTCCCCAAACCCAACAGGTAGGACCTACATCCATCACTCACACAGAAGGGAGAGAGAGAACGCTCTCATTAGACTGCGGAAGCGGGCGGCCGTGCTCCCGGAAGATGCTTTGCTGCGCATCATGGGAGTTGTAGTATCTCTTGCTGCTCACTTTGCGGGAAGGTGGGCACTAAAGCTTTGAGGGGTGGAAGAAGTTGCAGAAGGCTGGAGAGGTCACTGCTGTCAGGGAGAACCTGAAGGGCCTTCTTAGGTTTTGAAAACTAGCAGGTTGTTGAAAAGGCAGTTGGAGCGGGACCTTGATCGCCGGCGCTGGCTGTTTGTCTTTGCGCCTGGGGCGTGGCCAAACAGTCACGCCTCTTCCAGGTTTCAGCCTGAACTGTCTGCCCTGGACCTGCGGCGATTTATCGATGGTCCACACCGGGCCGTGGGCCTGCCTCCTGAGCTGCGGGAGGTCGTTTCCTCTATTAGCTACATCGCTCGACAGCTGCAGGAACAGGAGGATCACGACGCGGTAAGTCGAATGAGGGTGGAGCAGGGCGCGGCCTCGGTGGCCTTGGCTCCACCCGCAAATTCCGCCCCAGCACTTATTTTCATTTCTGATTGGACGTTTGCCTCACGTGGTCCCGCCCTCTGCTTTCCGACTGGTTCTTTACTCCCATCCATCACCGGCAGTCACGTTTTTCTTGTTGCGCAGCCAGATCTTGCCTCAAACCTGTAGTTGGAGAGCCCGGCGGGGCGTGGAGCCGTAGGGGTGGGCTTCCTTGGGGGTATAGGCCTGGAGCTCAGGAAGTGGAAGTTTTCTTTGCCTACCCTCCAGCTGAAGGAGGACTGGCAGTTTGTGGCCATGGTAGTGGACCGCCTCTTCTTGTGGACCTTCATCATCTTCACGAGCGTCGGGACCCTGGTCATCTTCCTGGACGCCACGTACCACTTGCCTCCTCCCGACCCCTTTCCTTGAGGTCTCCAGGGCAGAGACCTACCTGGTCCTGGGGCAGTTGAACTGAGAGTTTGGCGGTACCGTCAAGCCCTGTCCTCTGCCTCTTAACTCCTTTACTAGGAATCCAGCCCTCTTATTTTGTTTCTTGGGCAGGAAGCTGAAGTGGGACTGAAGGCTGGGCTGACGGGTGCCTTGAACCCACCCGAAATGCACTATCAGCTTATTTTTTCCTTGGGTTCCTGAAGAAGCTTCTTTGGGTATCAACATCTAGGTCCCCAGTGAAATAGAAAAAAGAACAAGAACTAGATTGTGAGCACTATGAAGGTAGGAAATGTGTCTTGTTCAGTGTATATTCCCAGCACCTTGCACAGGTCCTGACCTATAGTAAGTGCATAACATTTGTTGAATAAATAGGGAAAAAATTTCTAGAAGAAAATACACCAATTAATAGTGCTTTTGTTTGCATGTTGGGACTAGTGGTCATTTTTACTTTTACATTTCTGTAATTATATTTCGCAATGAGAACTACCTTTAGGATGAAAAAAAGGTTATTTCTAAAAGCATGTATTTGTAATGAGAAAAGAAAAAAAGCATTTTGAAGACCTCCATTCAAGTTGTAACTCTGGTGCTCAAACAAGTCACTAAACTGCTCTGTAGTTTCCATATCTGTAAAATGAAACTAATACTAGTATATGCTCCATAATGTCTGAAGATCACATGAGAAGATGGGAACAAAAGTACTATACAGTATATATCAGAGGTTGCAACTGTGTTTTGTTTGGCCCATGTTGTTGGCCTGCATGGTTTTAAATTGAATTATTTGGCTACTTTTTTTTTTTTTGAGACAAGGTCTCACTCTGTCACCCAGGCTAGAGTGCAGTGGCATCATCATAGCTCACTGCAACCTCAAACTCCTGGGCTCAAGTGAGCCTCCTGCCTCAGCCTCCTGCAGGTGCGCACCACCATACCTGGCTAATTTTTCTATTTTTTGTAGAAACAGGGTCTCAGCTCTTGCTTAGGCTGGTTTTGGAACTCCTGACCTCAAGCAATCCTCCCACCTTGGCCTCCCAAAGTGCTAGGATTACAGGCATGAGCCACCATGCCTGGCCATTTGGCTACTTTTAAAATTTGGATACTTCACAGAGAAATTTGGATTTCTGGCTTCTCTTGAAAAAAATTTGAAAAACCATAGTACTACTAGGCCTGATTCCCCTGTTGGCAGCAACGTGCTAGAGCTGATTAGTGGCTGCCCACTCAGGTGGGCAGTTACTTGTGCCAGAATTCCTCAAAGCCCCTGCCCACCTGACCGGCTTCACCCATTTTACCTGCCCATCCTCCCATAACTGCATGTATGTATCTGTATCTCTCCATGTATACGTATCTAGAAAAGATACAGGGGAAGGGAGGAGGGGCAAAGAGTCAAAGGCAATGAGTAAGCTGGGAGTGCGAAAAAGAAAGGCTGTGTCTTATGTCCATCACACATTTGTGCCTCAATTTTCCTTTCAATTTGGAAAAAGGGTTAGAGCTGGTTTAAGGTAGGGCTGGCCATTCTGGACATGGAGATCATGTGCCCAGCAGTTGTGTACATCAGGCTATGTCAACTTGTCTGTGAATGTTTCTGCCTGGAGGTTGGAACCAAGTCGGCTTAAGCCTACTGGCTACAGCAATTACTGCGAAGTACCTAGAGTCAACAAGCCCTCACATCTAAATTGCTGGAAGTTGTTATCCTAAGAGGGAGCACAGGGCTACAACTCCAGGGATCCCTGTGGGACAAGGTTAGCATGTCCTTTTCCCCCAGACCCACCAGCCACACAAATAATTGCACCTAGCATCCCACTGTGGAGCACAGTTTGTTTGTCTTGTTGGTTTATTGGCCTAGAGAGTTGGACACACACACAAATCGGAGATAAATATTGGTCAGTTTCTCTAAATCTGGGTCCTCACTACGTATAGAGCTAGAGTCTGTAGAATTCTAAATCCTGCGTGCTGTGGCACAGAACCAGTGGCCTTCCCACTCTGCCGTCACCCTTCTTCCCAGGGAACGTGGGGAAAGAGGGCACAAACTGACAAGACTTGATCATTTTCAAAAGACGAAACTGCAAAATCCCATATTTCCAACATCTGAAACTCACAATATTCAAATTCCCCAGCTCAGATACATATATTTTAATCTCCACTTAGCCACAATCTCATTTGTTGCCCAGAACCACCAAATTCCAGAAGCTATTTTCCTTAATCATATTTTAAAAAAAATAAATGTCTACAATCTCAATTCTCCCAAAATGTCCATAGTTTGGAATTTTGATCTATTCTGAAATTCAAATTCCCCAATCCATCCTCAACTCCTTCCATTGTTCCATGCCTGTTTGCCTGAGAGGAGTACAGGTTAAGGATACAGGGGCACTGTCATCACATCTGCCCCCTGCCTCTAGGCCTTCCTCAGTCTCTCTTGTGGTTCCACTGTATATATAGATATATATAATTTGTGTGTAGATATATATACGTATTCTTTATTATGTATTTTTCTGTTTTTCTAAAGTGCCAGAAACAAGATTTGTGAGAATTTTTAGTGATTTTTTTTTTTTTTTTTGCATTTTTCCCTGTTTGAAACTTTTCGCCCCCTTAAAAATTGGAACTTGGTACATTCAGTAGGAAATTCTTCACTCAGGCTGTGGCCAAGACCAAGAAAAGTGCAAAGAGACAGAGGAATGAAGGAGTGTCTCCTCCATGGTTAACATTCAGGGAGCCTGTCGAAAACTTCCCCTTTCCTGTGGGCTGGGAGGGGAAGAGGGGGCAGGAGGATGCTCCTGGCTCTTCCTCTAAACTCACCTCCCTCCAGAAGCCATGATCTTGCCCTCCCAGCAACTGCTGCAAGGGCAGCCATCTTGGCCCCAAAAAACAGTAGCTGGGGAAAGGCTGCCATTTTGATGACAGCAACTTTTCCCCTTTTTAAACTGCACTCCTCTAATTCCCATTTGTCAAATTTGCTCCCGCAAACAGGCTCTCCCTTGTGAGCTGTTTTTTTGGTGGGGAGGTGAGTGGGATGGGAAATGTTCATCCAATCACAGAGCAGGGAGGCCCAGTTTTCAAAGAGAATTAGGAGCAAACATTTCTTCATCTCCCCCACTGGAAGGAAGTATAGGGACCCCTGACCAGGGTTAACTAGTGCAAATTAGGGATTAGGGACTATGGTCCCTGCACCCCATCCCTAGGCTGGGATCTTTGGGTGTGGGGAACTGAGTCAAAGATGGGGTATAAGGTGCTATTCTGGAGGGAAAGTTGGTGGGGACACCCCAAAGCCCACCAGAAGAGTAGAATGGTTCCCCCAAAACCATCTGGAGTGATTGGTGAGGGAAGATGAGGGTAAAGGTAAGGATGGAAGGTCATGTGCAAATCTTGGGCTTACCTACCCATCCAACCCCCATCTTTTTTCTGGCTATTTGGTCTAGTCTGGGAGAAACCATCAGGAAAAAAACAGGGAGAAAGTAGATTCCCTTCTCCATCCCACACGGAGCTCTTCCCTCCTGGCCCCCAAATCTGGTTTAGCCCAGAAGAGGCCATAGGTAGAGGCAGGAAGAGGTGTGACCTATTCACCTCTTCTGCCTTGGAAGAATCTGGGGCTCACTGGATTTGGGGGTCAAGATTTCCCTGCCCTGGGCTGGGAAAGTGCTCAGCTATGAACAGAGGGGTAGCCCTCCCCCCAACACCTCCTTGACCTGGACTGGGAGAGGCCATCTCCAAAGTCTAGGGGTATGGGGAAGAATATGGAAGATCCAAAGGCATGGAAGCCAAGGAAGGCATGGCATCTTCACGCAAAGGAGACAGGGACAGAGAAACCCACCCTTGGGAAGAATGGAATCCAAAGCCACGCTCCCAGGTGTGTGGGTTCAGGTTTCACAATGGTCTGGTCCAGGCCCTGGGCCATACAGAATGGAATGTGCTAGGAAGCATCTGGGGGAGGGCTTAGAGAAAGCTTCAGAACAAGGGGGAATCATTAGGTGAGAGAGATGGTTTCCCCCTAGGTTTACAAATCAGAGGAGCAGGTTAGACATTCAGAGCTGGTGGGGGCCGTGAGTAGAGATTCAGATAAGTATATTGCTCAGTTGCCCCAAGGGCTGGAGAAAGGATGGGAGCTGGCCCTGCCCCTCATGGAGGCCATTCCCTGGAGGAAGCTTGAGAGGGGAACCACCAAAGATCCCTTCCCAGGAGATGGGAAAACTACAATCTCACACAAAGCAGCCTGACGCCTGAGCTCCAAGAGCCCCCAAGTCCCTGCACAAGAGTGTGGAGGGGCTCCCAAGGGGCAGGGAGGCCAGGGAGCTGGTAGTGGTGGAGGGTTCAGGGAGGGTGGCATCTGGAGAAAAGGGGACCTGGTCCCAGAGCTCACCCCACATCTCCCTTCTGGGTTCTCTCAAGCCCTTTCCTTTCCCCTTCTCCCTTAGGGGGAATGGGTGGAGGAAGAGTTGGGGGTGGTGGTGTTGGGGGAGTAGGGGGTGCTGCTTGAGGATTCACTGCGTAGCCAAAGACCCCTGGTAGGAAGGGAAGGGCCCCGCCTCCCTTCTCATCAGGTAGGACCATGTTGAGAGCAACCGGGAGAGCAGCCAAGTTGCTGAAGTTATAAGGGTAGGCAGCAAGGAGCTGAGGGCCATAGACGAGTGGGTAGGGCTCAGGGTAGAAGGTAACTTTGGCAGCCCCCATCCCTTCTAGCCGGTCCCCCTCACCAGCACCCCCTGGCCCCTCACTCCCAAGTTTTCCCCTGCCACCACCAGGATCCCGGCTACCCCCAATGAGGGCCAGTGGAAATTCCTGCACAGGTGGGTACACATAGTTGCCCCCTCCTGCCACCACCGGGGGCTCCTCACCCCCTGAAATGACAGGGTCCTGGAGTGAGGCGGTCTCGGAAGCTTCCTCAGCAGCAGCATTCCCACCGCCTGCCTCCCCGCTGGATGAGGAGACTTGCATTTCTTGGGGGGCCTCCTCCTTGACATCCCCAGGCCTGGTGCCAGCGCTGCCCTTGGAATAGGCAATGACAGGTGTGGGGGTGCCCCCCGGCCGCTCAGCAGCGTGCCTCTGCCCATGGCGGCTCAGAGCAGCTGCTGTCTTGCACACCTTGGCGCAGTGGGGGCAGGTGAAGCGGGTAGAAGGCCTCCGTCCAGCCCGGGAGCTGTGGGAGCCTCCACCATGGGCCTCCTGGTGCTTTCGCAGCTTCCTCAGGGTGGCGAAGGTTTGTGCACAGTCCCCACAGCGGTGCCTCCGCTCTGTGCGGGCACGTGTTGGGCTCTCAGCTGCTGGGGTCTCCTCCCAGCTCCTCCTTTCCAGCTTCTGCCTCCAGCGTGGTGGACGGCGGCCTCGGGGCAGCCCACTGCCACCACCACCACCTCCGGCAGCTCCAGCCTTGCGCTTAGGCTTGTATGAGTAGTAGGGCCTCCAGAGCTGGTCCTCCCCACTAGCCTTTGATTCCTCCTCCTCCTCCTCCTCCTCCTCGTCCTCCTCCTCCTCTTCATCGTCCTCACTCTCCTCCACCTCCTCTCCACTCAGCTCCCCAGGACGCAGGTCAGTTTCTGAGATGCGGCGCTTGACAATGGCCTCCTCCCCGATGCGCACAGTGATCTGACACAGTGGAGGTGGAGCCTGTAGCTGAGAAGGGCCCCGGCCGGGCCCTGCAGGGAGACCCCCGCCCCCGCCAATCCCGCCCACTGGCTTGGCTGTGTAAGTCAGAGTCCTCCCAGCCCGTGGATTCCGGCCCTTGGCCTCCTCTGTGGCGGTGGCCATGGCTGGCCCTGCAGCTGTGGCTGGGCTGACCACTGTGACTGGGCTGGTGGGTGTGGCTGCAGGCTCTGGGGGAGGAGGTGGGTACTCCCGTTTCTTGGGAGGCCTCGGGGGAGCAGTGTAAGTGATGACCGAGGCGGCCTGGGACCCTCCTGTGCTGGCCAGCCCACCCCCCGCTCCACCACTGCTACTGCCCCCGTGGACAATGACAGAGGGGGCTGGGTGAGCAAAGGTGATGACAGAGGGTGGGGGACCAGGCTCTGGGACAGGTGGAGGTCTGGGTGGTGGGCTGGCTGGCATTGCCACAGGGGCCGGTGTGTTGAGGTTTGGAGAAAGGGGGGCCTCTGGAGCTCCCTGGCTGTAGGTCTTGTAGGGCCGCTTGGCTGCCCGCATGGGGAGTAGGCGGTACAGCTTGAGAGTATTGAGCTTGGGCTTGTAGCCTCCATTGGGTGTCTTCTCACTGGCTAGGAGGCCCGGGCTAATGCCATGGAAGGCTCGCTGGTGGGTCTTCAGGTTATAATAAGTGACAAAGGTCTCCCAGCAGAAGATGCACTGGTACCTGGGCCAGGACAGCAGGGAATAGGGCAGGAACAGAGCCACTTAAGTCAAGGGCCCTGAAGTTAGGCTTCAGCTTCCCAGGTCCTCTACTGCCCTCCACGCAAGCCTTTAACTTCCCCAGCCATTTGCTCACCCTCCTTTCATGCTGTTTATCTCACCCTGCCAGCCTCAGGAGGGCCACTGTACTAGCTCAGCACCCCCCCACTGGCCGTGAGACTCTTGGCTTCAGCTGTTCCATCTGGGATCCAGCCTAACTCACAAAGCCTTCTTCTGAAGCCCGAAGGACAGAATAGGGAAATGACTTATGAACAGAGACGTACTATGGAAATACAAGACACTGTTCTGAGTATTATATCTATTGCTGGGCATGCCTGCACTTCCATAGTCCTTTCCAGTGAAGGCAACTTTCTCTTTCCTTTTAGGGGACACGGCACGTAGAGGTCCTGACTGACGTCAGCTGAAGGAACTGGGGCTGGAGGGAGGCAGGTGGGTGAGTGAGGGTAAGCAGGGCTAGTCTCGGGATGACTCTCTGGGCCCCATGCGCTGCCCATTCCCTCCCTTGTCCCTGTGGTATCTGAGTACTGGCCCTTGGACCCCGCCCCAGGCTACTCACCTGCGCTCCCCGGTGTGCCACACCTCGTGCTTAGTGCGGTACTCAGCTAGGGCAAACACCTTCTCGCAGTAGCGGCAGGGGTACTTCCTCCGCCATGAGTGCACGTTGCTGTGCCGCTTCAGGCTGGACAGCGTCACATAGGACCGCTCGCAGGCCGCACACACGTACAGCACGTGGCCGCCCACCACCTTTACCACGTGCTCGGGGCCGCCTCGGAAGCCCACGGGTGGGGGCAGAGCTGAGGCATCCACTCCTGCAGGACCACCGGGGCCAGAGCCCGCAGCCCCCAGCCCTGTAGACCCCCGAGTGCTGGCCCCCCGTCGGCACTGGGCCTCGTGGGTCTGCAGCCGCTTGGGATGGATGAAGCTTTTTCCACATCGAGGGCAGGGGAGGGGCCGCCGGGGCAATGGGGGCTGTAAGTCAGGGGCCTGGGCCTCAGCCCTGTCACCCTCCCACTCCACAGCTGGCCTAGGCCCAGGCCCAAAGCTGTTGTCTTCAGGCTGTGAGGTGGCCATGGGGGCTGGGGTGGGAGGGACCCAGGCATCACCTCCCTCCCCTAGGCCCTGCAGGCGGGAGATGCCCAGACGCCGTCCCAAAGCTCCAATCTCTGCTACAGCTGCCCCGTCCCCTCCGCCACCAGGTAGTGCGAGCCGGGCACTATAGATGAAGTTGAGGACATCAGAAAAGGCAGCTGCTGGGACCCCTGGCAGTTCCAGGACTCGGGGTGGGGATGAAGCAGGGGGAGAGGCTGGAGGGGGAGAGGAGGAGGAAGAAGAGGAGGAGGAGGAAGAGGAGGAAGAAGAAGAGGAGGAGGAAGAAGAGGTGGAGGAAGAAGAGGCAGCTGTGGTGGCAGCAGGGTTGGGAGCTGAGCCCCCAGTAACTGGTGGGAGGGGCAGTGGGGCTGAAGCGAGCAGAGCCTCTCTGAAAAAGGGACTTGAAGCAGCCAGGACACTGCGGTGAGCGGGGAACTTGGTGTCTCCAGCTATGAGGGTGACGTCACAGAAGATGCCACGGAGCCGCTGCTCATTGAGCTGGCGTAGGACAGCAGGGGCGTGGGATGGGTCCGTCACCTCTGCGGGAGGGGGCATGGCGCCAGCCTAGACAGCAGAAGAGGCCAGGGAGAGTCTCAGAGTCTTAGAGGCTGGGCAGAGGGGCAAGGCTCTCTAAGATCAGGGAGGTGAGCTGGGAGGGGGTCAGGGACTGGTCAAAAACTAGTGGAAGGCTGAATAACTTCAGGTCACAGAACTTAACCCTTAGCCACTCAAGTCTGGCCAATGTCCCAGACCAGTATGTCTAACATCCAGGGCTGGAAGAGGCCAGGGATACTTCAGGTCATGGTGAAGGTCAAAGGGTCATGACCTCTAAAGCCACAGCCTAGAGAAGCAATGGAAATCTCTCTCTCACTAGAAGGAGGAGGAAGCTCCCACAACTACTGATAGCCATTTCACAGAACTCCCCAGCCTAGACAAAATGGCTGCCCTCGCTGGCCTGCTGCCTTGGGTCTAATTTTCCTAGCTGCGGTTCTCTCGGCACCTCTTACCTGAGAGCACAGCCAACATGGAGCAGAGCGGGCCGTGGCTCAGCGAGTCCCTTCTGCTGGGCCTGTTCTTTCTGTGGAGAAACAGAAACCATGTCAGGGGGACCTAGAGGAAGAGGCAGGAAAGGGTCCTCAGGAAGGGAACTGGGAAGGAAAGGGCCCCAGGAAGTGAGAAGTGGCACAGTGTTGGGGTCAGAGAGGACATCTGGGCTGCTCTGCAAAGCCTGATCCCTCCCAGGAGTCTTGTCAGGTTACTTGTTTAGCTGTGTCCAGTCAAACCTAGGAGGCCACACACATTATTGCAGAGCCTTGTTCTGCTGGCCCAGAGAAGTACAGCAACAAGATAATTTGCATATTCCCAATTCACCTCCAAGCAATACAGCAGCACAGTTCAATCCCATAGGTTCAGGGTAGCCTGGCAGATCACTCTCAAGTCCCTTTGGCCCAATCTTGGGGCTCAGAGGAAATCAAAAGATTGTCTTTTACCACAATGGTCTTGTTTACATATCTAAATATATTTGTGTGAGCTTTTTTATTGGACCTAATTTGGTAGATATTCAAATTAGGAGAGGACCTCTTCACATACCCCAAACCCCATTAATCTTAGAGGGGGTTTCTGGCCCAGTTGCCAGGTGACCACTGAAGACCACTGACTCATACAAATACCAGCCTGCTCCAGTCCCTGGGGGACACTGGAAAGGCGACCAGAACAGGAGTGAGGAGGCTTGGGCCTCACTCCTTACTGAGACCTGGTGGCTTAGGGACTTTGGCTTAAAAAGAGGGGAACTGCAACCCCTACCTCACCTCTTGCTGGGAGGCTCATCCAAAGTCACACAGACCTGGTAATAATAGGTGAGGTCTGTTCACAGACCCAGGCCTGCTGACCTGAGAGCAGAGCTCTTGGGCTCTTCTCATCCGCTCTCCACAAAGCTTGGGAGCTCTCTCCTCTCTTTGAGGGCATCCTTCCAAATGCGCTGGGTCACACATGTCCCTAGAGGTATCCTGCATCAGGAGTCCCTCATACAATTCCCTGAAAAATGTTCTTTTCCCATATATCACACATACTGTCTGGACTCAAAGGCCTTCCCGTCACACATACCCCATCTCACATGCCCCAAAAGACTTTTCTGACATCTCTTCTGGACAGGAAGAAGGAAGGTGGTAAACAGGGGTGATATTCAAAAGTTTTAACAACCCTGACGGTCAGGCATAGATCAGGTACTGGGTCAAGTGCTTTCCTGTTAGCTGCTGAATTGTGGACAGTCTGGGAATCCTGGGAATCCCGTGGCTGGTGTTCAGGCCTCCCACTCCCTTCCATGACAGCCACTGGCCCACTGGGACCCCAAGAGAAGGTGCTTTATTTGTATTAATAGCATCTCATTTGCTCCTCATCACTACTCTGAAAGGTAACAGCTTCCCCACTTTAAAATGACAAACTGTGGTTCAGAGATACTAGAGATGCCCAAGGACATATGACCAGTTAGGAGCAAGGCTGGGATCTGATCCCAGGAAGTCTGGCTCCAAAGCCTGTATTCCTGATGACTTCACCATACCACGATGAAGGCCCCCACTAGGGCACCAATAGCCCATCTGGTGCTTTTCTGAAAATTAGAAGAAAGGCCCCTTCCTCCAGGAGGTAGCAGCCTGCACAGGTGAGCAAAGTCAAGGTTCGATTCTAGTCCCCGTTCACTCCCTTGGCCAGGCCTGCTCACCTGCACAACCATATGCGGCGTGGTTGGTGCCTACCCTGACTGCTACAATACTTGAACAAGGCCTGACAGGGCTTCTTAGAACCACAAAAATACAAAGCTGGACTGGCCATTGCAGATCACCCAGAATCATATCATCATGGTCTCTGTAGCTGCCATTTATGAAATACTTATTATGTGCAAAATGTAGTGCTAAGCATTTTATCTGCATCACTTCATTCCAACACTCAACGACCACAGTGAGGATTCTGGTGTAGAGAAATTGAATACTCCAAACTCCTCCCTTTCAGGTCGAGGGAACATAGTGCTAACCAAGCTGGGGTTTGGACCCAGCTCTCCAGAGTTCAAGTGCCCTACCCCTGGCCACTGCCCTGCAAGGGCTTATGGGAGGTGGAGAAGATACTAGCTTTGTGACCCTGGGCAAGTTACATAGCATCTTTGTACTCAGTTTCCTTGTCTATAAGGGGGGAGTGATGAATAGTTCTCACTTTGTGGGGCTGTTGTAAAGATTAAATGAGCTAATGACTGGCAGTACCTAGATCTTGGAACTCGGCCCCAGAAAATGGTAGGGGAAGTGTTGAAGAAAAAGAGGCAGAAATCGGGCTTTGTGGTAAGTTTGGTGGCTCTGTGGTTTTAAATGTTTTATTTGTTTGTTCTTACTGTTTCTCTACTCTTGACTGCCTGTGTCACCTCAGAGGTGCCACTGAAGCGGGGAATCTGAGCATGGCCGCCAGACATTCTCTACCGCTCGTTGTTCCCTCTGCCTGGAATGTTCTTTCCTCCAGATAGCTGTGTGCTTCACTGCCCCACTTCCTTTAAGCCTTGACTCAAAAGTCACCTTCCCAGAGGCCTTCCCTGGTCAACCCCCCACCTCCCATAACTTCCTATCCCCCCTACCCTACTTTATTTTTCTCCTTGGCACTTAGTAAAACATATTGCTCATTTACATCTAGAATGTAAGCTCCAAGGGGTGGGGAGTAGGGATTTTTGTCTGCTTTGTTCACTGCAGTATCTCCAGTCCTTATAATAGTCCTAGCACATAATGGGAGGTAAAACATGTTTTGGAAATGAATGAACCTGCCCTCAAAGTCTGCCTGGAGTCCATCCACCCGCAAGAAGGAAGCATCCTCAGTGCCAGACTGAGCACTGGATCACTCCTGGGGCACTCACAATTTGCCTGATACACTTCTAGGTGCTTCACCTGCCTTGCCTCCTTTAATGATAGCCTCAAAACGGCCACCCATTTTGTTTTTCTACCTTTATTTATAAAGAACACAACTCCCCTCGACACAGACACACACACATTCCAAGGAGGAACCCATTAAAAACAACAGAAGTGAGAACACTGGGACCTTACTTAACACCAGTCTGGGGTAACTGGCAACATTTTCTCAGATATGACATCTCACCTCAAAGACAAGAAGAGAGACCCTGGCCTGGAGGGCCCACCCACCTACAAAGCAGAAAGCTCCACTCTCAATATCTGGCATCATCAAACTGTCCCGTTTCAAAGATCATCTTGATATAATGGGGTATTATCCCAATTTTACTGAAGAGGAAACTGAGGCTCAGAGAGGGATGTACCTTGCTCAAGGTCACACAGCTTGTAAGTAGCAGTCAAGATTCAAATCCAGGCCCAGCTGACCCCAGATGCTGAATCTTTCCCTGTGCCATACTGCTGGATCCTGTCCTGAAAGGGCTTATGGCAGCCAGCTGGTTACATAAATCACCACACAAGGTCTCACGTGCTAAGTGCTAAATGTGTCATGTCTGACTCCACCCTTTCCCTTGCTCCACATCCAGCAGTCATAAGTCTGGCTGAAACTGTGGCAGAGCTTGGGAATAGCTCTGGAAGCCTTCCCTTCAACCCACCTCTGGTCCCCAAACTAGCTCAGGTCCTTGTTAACACTCACGCAGTCCCAGGCCATGGCCTGCCAGCTATCCCCCAGCCGCCAGGCTTACCTTCTTCCACCCAGCCCTCCTCCCACTGAGGGTCAACATCCCTAACCACAGCTCAGGTGCCACCACACCTGGGCTCAGAAACATTCAGTGGTCGCTGCTGACTCCAGAATAAAGTTCAGATTCCTCCACCAGATATTTAAGGGCTCTGGTCTAGCTTCAATCTTCCTTTTTAATCTTGCCTTATGTTGTGCTGTCTTAAACATCCAGTGTAAGCCAGGTACGGTGGCACGTATCTGGAGTCCCAACACACCCAGTGTGCTCTCCAGCCTTTACACATCCTACACCTCCATGCTTCTGCCTGTGCTGGCTCTCCTGCCAGAAATGCCCTTTCCCTGATCTCTTCTCAAATCCCTCCAAAATGTTAAGATCTAACCCAAATGCCACCTCCTTGGCCCTCCCTGACCCACAGGACAAGGACAATCTGTTCTCTAACTCATCAACCTTTTGAACCCCTATGGCCAGTACCCACATTATACAGCAGCAGAAATTTAGCGTCTCACGTCCTAGGCTGGGACTCCACGAGCACACTGGTTTTCTGAGATGGATTGGTGCAGTTGCTAAGGTCTGCAGAAACTGGGGAGAAGAGGGCGTGTGTGTCGAGGGGGGTGCAGAAAGGTCCATTGAATGCTCCAGAAGGGCAGCAGAGTATAGCAGTTTAAGAACACAGGATGTGGAACCTGACTGCCTGCGTTCAAATATAGCTTTACCTCTTTCTAGCTACGCGACTTTGGGCAAATTATTTAACTTCTCTAGGCCTTGGCTGCATCACCTGAAAAAGGGAGGTAATTAGAGCTCCTACTTCCACAGTTGTGAGGACTGAGTGACGCATGTAGAAGCACTGAGAACAGCGCCTGGTACACAGTCAGTGCTAAACAAGTGTTTGCTGCTACTGTTACTAGGAAAGTCCAGAGAAGGGGATTCTCAGTGCTGGCAGAGGACTGACTGGCAATGGCATAGCCCCCAAACTGTAGTCACCATCCGGGTCCGTTTCCCATGTGCTGCTGGAAGACAGGTAGGGCAGGTAATTAGCCCCACTTTACAGATGAGGAACTGAGGCTCACTCAGGTAAAGTGCCCGTGAGGAAGTGGAAGAGCCCGCAGAACTCAGCTCTAATCTAGGGCTCCTTCGCCTTCACCCGCTGTCATCGTCATCGCACCTGTTGTTGTGCAGGCTTTGCACGGCAGCCAGCCCCCTCCCAGCCCCTGTGCCGGAGGAACCAGCCACAATGCCCTCCTGTCCCCGGTGTATACACATCCTCCCTGCCAGGCCCGGCACAGTACACAGTGGTGTGCAGGGTTGGAGTGCACGCACGCACACATCCCTACAGAAAGGCCCAGGCCCCAAAGGTGAGGAAAACCTGTTCTGAGGAATCTGCCTAGTGAGCGAATTCCGATCCGAGGCCCTTCCACAGTTGCAGCAGTGGGGCCCAGTGTGCGTCAGAGATACCCGCAAGGGGGGCAGAGAGAGGGTGGGGGCAAAGTGGGAGGAGGCTGAAAACTTCACGTTTCTTTTTTCCATTTTAGTGACAAGAGTCACACCCGGCCTTTACATAAACATGGCCAAGGAGCCACTCTGTCTAAGCTCACTTCCCTTGCAGCCGCCCAGCCTCTCCTCCGGGTGACCCTGACATGCCAGGCAGGCCAGTTCGGGGCAAGCACACCGACCCTGTAGAAGACTAGCTGGGCCACTCCACAACACCCATGCCTCCGCCTGCTGCCCTTGCTCTGCCCCGCATTTATCTGGCACCTTCCTCATAACATATCTCCCCCCACCCACAGCCTTCTCCTTCTGCCCCCGGCAGCCCCACCACCACTTAAGCACACAGAAGGTAGGCACGTGCACGCGCGCGCGCGCACACACACACACACACACACACACACACACACAGCTTGCAGCTGGTCTCTCAGGTCTGAGGCCCACACTGCCCTTGTCACGCCACCTCCCTCCCATGTGCTTTCTGACCAGCTCGCCTCCCAGCCCAGCAGCCCAGACAGGCTCCCACAAACAACGTCACAAAAGAATCCCGTGGAGAATGTTGCAAACACAAAACCTTCCTCTTGCTTGGCTGCCTAAGATCCCATAAACACAACTGGCACATCCCACCCTAAGCCCCTCACACCAATGTCAGCTGACCCACAGGCACCCAAGACACACCCTGGGGTTTCTCACTCCCCTCATGATCTGCGGGATCTGAGTTCTAGATGCGCAGCCCCCATGCAACTCGCTCATCACAGACACACAAACCCATCTGCTGGCCTGTCCTCCACAACTGGACCACACCTCAGCAAGGCTACAGAAATGGGACCCAGACATGACGCCTTCTGACTCAAAGGTCTACAACCACCCCCTCCAAATGGGCACATACACCCTGCATTCTGGCGCCCTCCACAACACAATACACCACGCCAGCTGTGCAGAAAATAGTTCATAAACAGTTCGTATGTGCAACACGAGACATACATGCAAAAAAACACACGCTGGTAGCAAACATACATACAACCCCACATTGAAAAAACTCCGCACTCAGCGTATCATGTCCTGCTTAGAATGCCCATCTGTCACCCAAAGCCACAGGGCCACATCTTGTAATTCTGCCCCACAACACTGGACACCCCTCCTGGTTTTCTATCTCCATAGCCCAGGGAGGGCCCTATCAGGATCCCTGGCTGCTAGACCAGCAAACGGTGGTGCCCCGAGAGGTTTACCTTGACCCACAACACAGCATGAGACACAATCTCCAAAACTCACAGCCACAACCCTGCCCCGACGGCGCGGCGGTTCCGGGGCCCCAGTTCGCCCTGCGCACCCCGCATACCCCAACTCTGGGGCGCTGGGCGGCCCACCCCTCCCCCTCTCTGCCTGGCTCCTACGCCATCGCCCTCCCAGCAGCTTGCAGCGCTTGCCCGGGCTCACACCCGCCCCACCCCACCCCCAACCTGCCCCACTGGGGGAGGGGGACATTAGGCTGCAGAATTAACCCTTCAAAGGGGGAGTAAGCGCGGCCCCTTCCACGGCCCCAGGCGATCGCGTCCCCCCGCCGCCGCTCGCTCGGACGCCATACCCGGGCCCCCTTAGTCGCCCCCCAGCGTCGTGCGCGCCCGGGGGCGGGGCCAGGCTCAGCCCCCGACCCCTGAGCCCCCAGGTCAACCCCAAAGGCTAGCGGCCGGGGCCCCCGCGGTGCCGGGCAGCGGGAAAGGGGGCCCGGCAGTTGGCTCCGGTCCGCCCTGGCCCTGCCCGGTTCGCCCCGGGGCCCACCTGACTGCGATGGCGCCGCGTCCGCCAGGCCCGGCTCATCACCCTGGCCGCCCCCGGCCGCTCCGGTTTCGCCCGCCTCCAGCTCCGGCTCCGGCTCCGGCCCCGGCCCCCCCAGCGCCTGGCCCCGGCCCGGCCCCGCCGCCGCCGCCGCCGCCGCCGCCGCCGCCGCCGCCGCCGCCGAGAGGAGGCCGGCGCAGCGCAGCCGACACCAACACTAAGCTCCGAGCGTCCGACGGCCTTCGCCGGGACGGATCCGCGCAGGACACCGAGCCGCTCTGGGCCACCGGGCGGGTGGATACCGAGCGGGGCGCGGCGCAATGTAGCACCCCGGCAGGGGCTCACGACCACCCACTCCTTGGGAAGGGACTCCCCCCACACGCCCTTCACTCAGCTGCGCACACCGCCTGAGAGCAAAACACACTTGCTGTCAGGGCGCAGACACGCAACATGGCAGATTCACAATCGGCCCCAGTGGGACCCACAGACCTAGGGGCAGCAGACTCACAGGGGCAGCCCTGGACACACACACACACACACACACACACACCATCCCAAGGAATGCGCAGGGACCCACACCCGGCCACCAGCAAGGAAGGCCCCAGCGCTAGCTACACCACTGGCACACATCATTGACCGCCAGCCCAGATGAACATGTAGCTTGGTACTTTTGTCCCCACCAGCAGAAATATCCACATTTATATACTTGTACATAAATGCAGAGCCGTTGGTGTGGGCCTCCTTGGACAGCACCAAGAAAACACCAGGTGGAAGCACACAGAAGAAACACATTCCTGAAACTCCGCAGGGACAATCCGAAGGACTCCTCCCTTGGTGCTGGAAAATTAAAAACTCAGGAGGAGTCAGAGGAGCCAGCCGTCAGAGCCCCTTTCCTTAAGACCTTTCTGAATCAAAGCAAGATATAAATAAACAAATTAATTTAAAGCCACAGAGCTAATCATAAAGAGAAAAAAGAATCAGACAAATTTTGGAGTCAAGGAGCCATAAATATAAAACATGGAGAGTTGGAATCAATGAGAAAATAGGCCCACCACCACCTGAGGAAGGTTCCAGGGAAGAACCCCACCCCCACTCCAACCAGGTCACAATGGCTGGAGCTCTGAGGGGCCCAGGCCCCCAGAGTCAGGAGAAGAGGAGGAAGTCCAAGGAAAGATGGTGAGTGTGGGGCCAGGGGGTGCATAGGGCAACACTCCCTTCCTGAAGCTCCTGGCTGCTCCCCTTCCCCTCCTCCCATAAAACTTCCCAGCTACCCTAGAGACACTCACAAATGAAATTCATCACGTTGTATCCAGATGTCGCTGGAACCTGTGACATCACACAGACACACAGCATCTAAGGCCACCTGCCCTTCCTCAAACCAACAGAGCATCCCTGGGTCTTTTTTCTCCTCCCAGGAACAACTTACCCAGAGAAATAGGATGCTTCAGGACTGCTCACTCCCTGCTTCCTGCTTTAGATGCTCCAGGCCCACATTGTACCACCTCATCCATCTTTCAGGCCCTTTCTAGCTCCTAAGAGTTCCTCAGCAAGAGAGCCTGCCCCTCTTCTGTCCCACAGGGTCCTGGACCCCCAGCCTGGCATTGCCCTGCCCCAGGCTCCCCAGGCTTGGCTGCCCTCATGCCCAAGCTCCTTTCTCCCTAACAGGCTGGCAGTCACCCCTACTTCAACCTGCCTGACTTCACCCAGCCATCGCCGCCCTCCACTCCGCCCAGCCTCCCCTCGCACCAGCGCTGCTGCCGGCCCTCCGATGCCACCAAGGGTCTGCTCGTGGCCCTGCTGGGTGGGGGCCTGCCTGCTGGCTTCGTGGGCCCCTTCTCCCGTATGGCTTACCAGGCTTCCCATTTTCCCTCACTGGAGCTGCTCATCTGCCGATGCCTCTTTCATCTCCCCATTGCCCTGCTACTTAAACTGCGTGGCGACCCACTGTTGGGACCTCCTGATGTCCGAGGCCGGGCCTGCCTCCACGCCCTGCTCAACGTCCTCAGCATTGGATGTGCCTACAGTGCTGTTCAGGTGGTGCCTGCTGGCAACGCTGCCACAGTTCGCAAAGGCTCTTCCACTGTCTGCTCTGCTCTCCTTGCCCTCTGCCTCGAGAGCCAGGGTCTCAGCGGCTATGACTGGTGTGGACTATTGGGCAGCACCCTGGGACTAATCATCATTGTGGGACCTGGACTAGGGACACTGCAGGAGGGGACCACAGGCCTCTACACTGCTCTGGGCTATGTGCTGGCTTTCCTGGGAGGCCTGGCACTGTCACTGGGGCTTCTGGTCTATCGTTCCCTGCACTTCCCCTCCTGCCTGCTGACAGTGGCCTTCCTATTTGGCTTGGTGGGGCTGCTGGGTTCTGTGCCAGGCCTTTTTGTGCTGCAGACCCCTGTGCTGCCTAACGACCCTCTGAGTTGGAGTTGTGTGGGGGCAGTGGGGATCCTTGCCTTGGTCTCCTTTGTGTGTGTGAGCTATGCAGTCACCAAGGCCCACCCTGCCCTGGTGTGTGCTGTCCTGCACTCTGAGGTGGTGGTGGCCCTGATGCTGCAGTATTACGTGCTCTATGAGACTGTGGCACCTTCTGACATCATGGGGGCAGGGGTTGTGTTGGGCAGCATTGCCATCATCACGGCCCAGAACCTCAGCTGTGAGAAGGAAGGGCAGGTGGAGGAGTGACATCAAACTTGAGAGCCTGGGGGTTGGGGGGGCAGGGGTAAATAGAGACACTGAAATACAAATATGGGCAAATCAGTGACTGGAAAAGAACTGGTGTGGGAGAGGGACACCTCTTGGAGTCAAGGGTGACTTGGGGAGATGGTGGAGAGAGGGAGTATGTGGAAGACCTGGAAACAAGTCTGGGGACCAAAGGATGTAGAGTCTAGGCCATGTCCTAGGAATCAGGACTTAACTAAGGGATAAAGTCTGAGGAGCAGATCCAAGGGGTTGAGGCAGGCAGGCTGTGGGCCATGGGGAGGACTTCCCTCAGCAGCAGAGCATTGGGGCTGGAGTGTTCCCGGGTGTTAGAGTGAAGACAGAGCAAGCAGCTGCACTGGGGGAGGGAATTCCCGCTGGGCCACGGTTTCCTTTCCTCATGGTTGCGACCCACCTTGGGGTGGTAATGTGACATTGACATCAAACAAGGATTACTCTGAATGTGGCTGTGCAGTGGTGTCATCTCTGCTTTGGAGGGAGAGTGGAAGTCCTATAGTTGCTCTTATTGGAGAATCCCTTGGGATCCCCGCCCCCCATCTTATTTCTGAAATATTCTATAAGGTAGATTTCCTAATGTTCAGATTTCTTGACCCCAAATCCCCCGGGACTTTCTTGTCCCGCCCCATGGCTAATCTACTTTTCCTGGATTGTCGCGGTCCCGTGATCTCTCCCGGAGAGAGTGGCCAGCCTCCTTCGGGAGCAGGCCTCCGAGCTGAGGCCTCTTCGAGTGGCTCAGGCCGGGAATCCAGGACTAAGACTTGGCACAGCGCTCCCTGAGAGGCCCGGAGATGCCCACTCATCTCTGGAGGCCGCTTGACAAATATCGGCTACTTCCGGACAAGCAATTGCCCTCGCCATCTTGATCTTCTCATGCATATTCAGCGCGAGACTGCATATTCATGACCAAGGACGGCCCCTGCACTCCCGCCAGGAACCCACTCGGGAGCACCCAACCGGACCCGCCTCCATTACCGATTCGCAGAACAGACCATTTTCCAAATTAGGGGGGGATGTTTTAGTGAGAGACTTCCGCTGAAGATGAAACCGTGCTCCAAACTAGAATAAAAGCGGTCTAATTTTACCCTTGGTCCTTCAAATCTTAAATCTCAGCGCAGGAGGGAGCAGCGAGGGGAGGCGGCGCGATTTAAAAAATCCCCCCTCCCTGTCATTCTAAGGGCCGCCCAACCAGGGAGCCGCGGAGAGAGGATCAACGACTCGAGCGCGCGCCCCGTGCGGGCCGGCGCAGGCGGCCCCGTAGCGCAAGGGAGGGCGGGAAAGGAAGGGGCGGGGACTCAGGGGCGAATCTATAAAAGGCGTCATCCGGCGAGTTCGCTTCTCAGAAGCGCCGAGAGCGCGGCCGGGACGGTTGGAGAAGAAGGCGGCTCCCGGAAGGGGGAGAGACAAACTGCCGTAACCTCTGCCGTTCAGGAGCCCGGTTACTTATTTATTCGTTACCCTCTTTCTTCTTCCTCCCCCCAAAACCTTTTCCTTCCCCTCCTCCTTTTTTTTTTCCTTTTTGTGAGCCAAAAATCTCCGGAAAGGGAGAGAAGAGCTCGTTTCGTTCCTTTTTATTTCCCCGCCTCTTTCCCTCCCCCACCTTCCCCCTCCTCAGTCTTTTTCCTCCCAACTCGGGGAGGTCCTTCCCGGCGGCCGCCCCGACGGGGTCTGAGCACCTAGGCGGAGGCGGCGCAGGCTTTTTGTAGTGAGGTTTGCGCCTGCGCAGCGCGCCTGCCTCCGCGATGCACGGGGGTGGCCCCCCCTCCGGGGACAGCGCATGCCCGCTGCGCACCATCAAGAGAGTGCAGTTCGGAGTCCTTAGTCCGGATGAACTGGTAAGCTGCTCTGCCCTCCCCTCGTCCTCCCTCCTGCGCCTGCGGGCGGGGCTGGATGGTAGCCGCGGAAACTTGGCATTTCCCGCTGTCTGCTGGTGACGGGCTGGAAGCATGGCTTAGCAGCGCCAAGGCCATGCAGGGTCCAGCCTCGGGCTTCCCGGAGTTAGATTTTGCATGGATTTGAGCAAACTTAGTGTCGGAGATGGGGGCCTGGCTGGAGTGTGCGAAGGAGGGAGAGAGGGGTAACTGATTCCACCTTCCAAAGTTACTGACGTTGAACGAAATCAGACGGATCCTAGGGAGTCTTTGCAAGTTTGGATAGGAAGCCAAACCCCAGATTTTCCCCTCCCCTTCTACAGATATTAATCAAACACCTGCTATGTGAAAGCCACAATAGACTCTGAGAATAGAGAGCTGAACACGACAGACAAGGACCTTGACTTCCAGAGCACTTTCTGTGGAAAAAGGCAGGGGAGACAGACAATAAGCATGAATAAATGAATCAAAAAGATAATTCAGTTAATGGCCAAGTGTTTGGAATAAAGTAACGGGGTAATGCCGGGAGAGTCACTGAGGTGGGGTTGCTTTGGATGGGATGGTGTCAGGGTCTGGGAAGGCCTGTCTATGGAGGTGACATTACCTGAATGATAAAAAGCAGCCCATCATCTAGACCATAGATTCTAGGGCAACAGCTTTTCAGGCAGAGGGAACAGTAAGTGCAAGGGGTCTGAGGGAGAAATGAACATGGCCTGTTCTAGAGGCTGAAAGGCGGCCAGCGTGGCTGGAGTTTAGTGGGTGAGGAGAGTGATACAGAAATAGGTTGGAGAAGCATGGGATATTGTGAATCATGGTAAGGAGTCAGGATTTAATTCTGTTTCCTGTAGGAAGTCATTGGACAATTAAAAATTAAAAGCAGGAGAGTGACATCAGGTTTACAGTTAACAACAACAACAACAAAACACTGCTGTGGTATCTCTGTGAAGAACTGATTGTAGGGAACGGTAAGAATGGAAGCAGGAGAGGCCAGAGAGAGGAGGATAGTCCTAGGGGAAGAGCTGCTGGTGACTTGGACTTCTTCCTTTATGGAGCTAAGTAGAGGAAGCTAGTTGGCTGGAGAGAATGGAGTTAAGTGGCTATATTTGTGGATAATTTTGCTGGCGAGAGGGTTCAGCTATGTCAGGAGTCAGAACGTCCTGACTTCACTCATACCACAGAATAAATTCCAGACGAAGTTAAGATTTAAATCTTTAAAAAAACCCTAGGCCGGGCGTGGTGGCTCACGCCTGTAATCCTAGCACTCTGGGAGGCCAAGGCGGGCGGTTTGTTTGAGCTCAGGAGTTCAAGACCAGCCTGAGCAAGAGCGAGACCCCGTCTCTACTAAAAATAGAAAGAAATTAATCAGACAACTAAAAATATATATAAAAAAAAAAATTAGCCGGGCATGGTGGCGCATGCCTGTAGTCCCAGCTACTCAGGAGGCTGAGGTTGGTGTGAGCTAGGCTAACGCCACGGCACTCACTCTAGCCAGGGCAACAGAGTGAGACTCTGTCTCAAAAAAAAAAAAAACAAACCCCTAAAGGCCAGACACTGTGGCTCACACTTTGGGAGCTGGGACAGGAGGATTGCTTGAGAATTGCTTGAGATCAGGAGTTTGAGACCAGCCTGAGCAAGAGTGAGACCCTGTCTCTACAAAAATAGAAAAATTAGTGGGGTATGGTGGCTCATGCCTGTAGTCCCAGCTACTTGGGAAGCCAAGGCAGCAAAATTGCTCGAGCCCAGGAGTTTGAGGTTGCAGTGAGCTATGATGACGCCACTGCACTCTGGCCTGGGTGACAGAGTGAGACCCTGTCTCAAAAAAAAAAAAAAAAAGAAAAAGAAAAGAAAACCCCATAAAGCACAAAAATTGAAGGCTTGTGTGAGCTGTTACCGGGGGCAAAAATACTTAATAGTAATGACTTAACTATAGGTAAATTTTAAATGGTGCCTAAAATGAGCCAAGCAGTATAAATACAAGGAAGAACAAGGCAGATTTCACTACTAAAAAATTAGGACCACTTCTGCTTATTAGAGGCACCATGGGCAAAGCCGAAAAACAGACTGGGAAACAATATTTGCAATGTGGTGGACAAGGTTAGATTTCTTAATATACAAGGAAAGCTTACAAATCAGTAAGGAAAGTACGGATCTACTGGAAAAATGGATAAAGATAAAGGGTATGAATAGACAGTTCACTGAAGTAGTACAAATGGCCAATAAAAAAATTGACTTCCTAATAAAAACATGTAAATTAAAATTGTTTTCCTTATCTGATTTTTCCCTGCTGGCAAAAACATTGGGATATGGGCATGCTTATACATTGTTGGTAGAAAGATAAATTGGTATACTGTTTTTGGAGGACAGTTCTATCAACTGTTTAATTTAACCAGTTATACCTTAGCCCAGCAGTACCATTTTTAAAAATTCATCCTTAAATAAAAAAATCTTAATTTCTTCCCTCAGTCATGTCCCTTTCCCAGTCCTGAATGATTCTGAAAATAATTTCTCCATTTATTCAGTTACTCAGGCTGAAAACCTAAAAGCCATCTTTGATTCTCTTTCTCACAGTCTCCACTTAGTCCATCTGCCAGAGTGTCATTTCTGCCTTTGGAAGTAAATCTAGAATCCAGCCATTGATTGATTGGTTGATTGAGACAAGGTCTTGCTCTTGCAGTGGCATGATCATGGCTCACTGCAACCTCAAACTCCTGGGCTCAGGCGATCCTCCTGCCTCAGCCTCCCGAGTGGCTGGGACTACAGGTGTGCACCATCACATCTAGCTAAGTTTTCTTTTTTGTAGAGGTGCAGTCTCGCTATGTTGCCCAGGCAGGTCTTGAACTTCTGGCCTCAAGCAATGCCCGCCTCCTCCTTGGCTTCCCAAAGTGCTGGGATTATAGGTGTGAGCCACTGTGCCCATCTGGAATCCAGCCATTATGACCATCCCCACCACTGCGTGCCCCCATATTGCACCTCACTATCATCTTTAATGTGCAACTAGGGGCCAGAGCAACTACTGCAGTTGCTCTAGCCCCTAGCTGTTCTTCCTACAGTTTGCAGAACATCTAGAATAAACTAGAGAGCTAGGTGTTTTCATCTGCATGGTATTCTCTCCAGAGGATTCAAACTCCTTTCTTCGGCCTAAAAAGTCCTATATTATTTGGCCCCTGCTTGCCTCTCCTTCTCATTGCCAGTCTCCTCTTCGCTATTCTCTAACCGCATTGACTGCTTGCTCTCTAACACTGCAAGCTTATTCCTGCCTCAAGGACTTTGTTATTTACTGTTCCTGCTGCTTGGAACAACGTTGCCCAAACCTCTGCATGCCTATTCCTTTATGTCAGTATGTTCTCTGTCGAGGTACCGTATCTATAGGAGCTCTTCCCTGACCAACCTATTTAAATAGAACCTCCTTACATTCTCTAACTCCTATCCTCTACTATATTTTCCTTCACAGCCTGTCACTCCTCAAAGGATTAGTCTTTCTGTTTCTTGTTTCTTGGATAGAATGTAAATTTCATGAGGGACCTCGTCTGTGTTGTTTTCCTTTGTTCCCCCAGCATCTCGTATAGTGCCTGCCACA